GTGAGGTTTTTGACCTTTTAGAAGGGAATAAGTAGAGCCCACATTGTACTGTATTATCCTGTGCAAATGCCTTTTACCATTTGGCAAGTTTTTGTCAAACGGGGTGTATGTACCTTGTTTTCTGTGGCATGCTTCTCCTTTTCAACCTTGGCCAGAGTCAGCTCAAGGTCATCAATGTCTTTCTTCAGTTCTGAGCACTCATCCTCCAGTTTCCTCTTTTTGGCTGTCAGCTCAGCATTCATTTCCTCTTCATCTTCTGCCCGTTCAGTCAGTTCCTTAATTTTAGCTTCCAGCTGGATCTTGGTTTTGATCAGCTGGTCGCATCTCTCCTCAGCATCTGCCACAGCATCAGATTCCTGAAAAAAATCCATCAGGCTGTTTCCCCCTTTCTATTAGTCTCTTTCTTATTTCTAACAGTGAAGAATGGTTTTAGTAGTGTCTCTGGCAATAATGATACATTTCTTTAGTTTTTTAATGTCTCACTGCCTTTCCAAAATCCATTTCCTGAGTGGATTTTTGCACAGATAATCTTCAGATTCCAAACTGAAATTTATATAAAATATTTATCATTGTTAAAAATAACACAAAGTACTTTTATTAGCAAACTCCTTTATCAAAGCAAATATGATGTATATTAGGTGAACAGTACTGTTGTTTTGAGAAACCACCTTGGGAAATTTTTAATACTCTTTTCCCACAATGAGTACATTATTTTTTTTAATACTACCAGAACACCAGTTTTTACTCCATATCAGACACACCAGTTACAAACAGGCCAAACAAAATATATAAACAATATTCCCAAAAGGGTTTTGTGTATATATGGCCAGATGCATTATACTCACTGCCAGGAATGTGTAGCATATATATTTGAAGATTTATTATATTTATTACATGGAGCTGTAATTTTTAGAAAACCTAAAGGGCCCCAAATATTATCCATGCAACTTTCCTATATCAAAAAGGCAGAAAGTCAACAGAACAAGGATGTTCAGTGTCACAAAGTGTGCTTACAGACTGGACTTGGAGCTGCAGATCATTCTTCTCTTGCATCAGAGACACCAGTTTTTCTTCCAGCTGTTTCCGCTTGGCCTCTGACTTTGCAAGTTCATCCTTCGTTTTTGCAAACTCTTCTTTCATTGTGGCCATCTCTTTCTCTGCCTCGGCGCTCTTCAACAAAGGCTTTATCTTAAAGTACAACTTCATCCATGGCCAATGCTTGACATTCATGAAGGAACGGATGTTGTATTGAATACTAAAGATGGCTTCTCTGTCAAGAAGAATAAGATATGTATTGAATGCTATGTAGCAGAATAGTCCAGTCGAATGAAACATTTATTATTTATGGCCAAAAGACTTTGCCAACTGTCAGATACATTAAAAAAAATACATGATACCAAAATGACGTTTGCAAATAAAATTCCAAGAATTGCTCTGGCTACAAAAAATTGTAAGAAAAATCCAAGGTAATAAAAAAAACTTGAAGAAGCAGCAAGAAAAAAAAGAATAAAGGAAATCAATGAAATAATAAAATTGTCAGTGAATTAGGGCAGCTCTGTGATAGTTTAAATATAAACTCTAATGACACTTTTACAGAGTCCCTTGAAGCAGGCAGTGCAAAAGGAGATTCCCTATTGATCATGTAATAAAATAAAATATTAAAGCTCCAATAATGGATATATATTACCTACTTTCTGATAGAATCCTAATACGATTGTATCTAGTAATCCTAATACGATTGTATCAAGTAAACAGGAAAAAATAGAATGTAAAATGGGAGATCTATTTTGAGGCCACAATGTTTCTATGTCAGAAGACTATATAATGGCAATTTTACATGTCAAAAGCTATTCAAAAGAATACTGAATTTAAGATTATTTCTCTGTCAGAAAATGCAAACAACCTCCCTCCTGAATTTAACTTCTATAGAAGAGAGAGCACAAAAAAAATAATGCGATCTGAAAAATGTATGGTTTTCAGAAGTCCAGTTTTTAACATTCTAACACTTGAGGTGACATAGTTTAGAAACATAAGGAAATCTGTTTTTAATAGTTAAGTATACCATTATGAATCCAAGCCACAACTGAAGGAAGAGCATATCATGTATGAGTTGAAGTTCACAGAGTGTCAGGAGACAGAACTGCTTTTTACACAAGCAAATGAAGACCCACAAAAACAAGTCATCTGATATTGCTTTTCTTAAAATAAGCACAGGGGTCATACCTTCTTTCCAACATTTTCTGGTATTCTACTCTTGCTAAGAACCCACGACACATAGCCTGTGTACGTGTTATCAGCTGAGCCAACTTGTCATCTCTCATCTCTTCTAGAAGACCCAAAAGACCAGCTTTGAAAAACACCTGCAGAAAAGAAATGTTGTTGAATGTCACACTCAATCTCCACACAAGTTTACAAGTTGCTTGCTTGCTTTGGACATATGTTATACCTTAGTATGTCCAAATTTATACTGGGTGTGGTCAATATCAATGGATGCAAGAAGCTTCTCACTAGCTTTCTTGCTGTCAATGAACTGTCCCTCTGGGATGGCACTGGCATTTAAAACCTTGTACCTGCAGAGGAAATAAAAGGTACATATATCTTGTCACTGAATCACCTGTTTTACAAGCAGCAATTGGTGAACATTATTCACCTTCAAAACAGTGTGAAGGGATTATTAGTACACAAAAATAAACTGCTTTAAAATAATGGTTTATTTCTGAAAACACATTGGGAATGATTGAGAACATATCGAAAAACCATGAATGCTTGATTCATTAGGGAAATCTTTTCTGCGATTCTCATCAAGACTAACAGTACAATCCTGTACATATTTACCCAGAACCAAATCCACCAATTTTGGTAGTGCTTTCTCCCTGTGAGTGGGTATAAGATCTAGTTAAATTCTGTTAGCTGTTTCTGCAATTAAAGCTTTTAAAAAATAACATATGCCATGTATAGCTCAAAGCATTATAGAAGGGCCAAGCTGACCTCTGTTTGAAATCACCATAAATGATTCTGCTGGGGAATCCTTTTCTGCAAATACGGATGCCTTCCAACACTCCATTACACCTCAGCTGGTGCAGCACAAGCTCGTGATCCATTGCACCTTTCAAACAAGGCAAAACAGTAATCAGCATCAAAGGCTGCAATCTGGAGAGGCAAACAATACCACACCTCTATCTGTCTTTACAACTCAAGGTCCTACCTGGTGTTTTGGTTTCATTGGGAATAATGCAGCGCACAAAATGCGGGTGAGTGCTTCTCAGATTGGTCATCAATTTGTTTAGGTTCTCCTGTAGAACAAGACATCAAATACATCAGTGCAACAAACCAAAGCAGGAATCTGTGCATGCGAAGGTGAAGCGTACACAAATAGGTTGGTGGGGAGGATAGCTCGATCAAACAGAAGAGACATAGCATTTAGATTCCACTGAAGTTATTATAGTTCCTAATAGGTGCAGCTAATGCTTTATTAGAAGTTTGGGGTGTATAGTCTTCTGCACTTTCAGTGAATAAATAAGTTACTGGTCAGGTTTAGGGTTAGGGTTATCTCCATGTCAATGGGAACATCTGTGATAACAATGTCAAACAAAGGCCTATGTGAGCCATGAAAGAAAAATGGCAGGGGCACATTGCTTTTCGGATTTTATCCTTAACTATTAAGTAAAGTAGAAATACAGAGATGTGTCCTGGAAGTGAAGCCAAGTGTGACATATAAGGATTCAGATTTCTGTGGCTATTCAGTACTTAAGTTTTGATTCTTCCCCCGCACCACCACCACCACCAGTTTTTGACTATCCAAGAGTATTTCAGGGACTTGTATGTTTATTTGAATTATTATTCAAATTTTGCTGACAGGTGTGGACATGTTTTGATTTTAAGTGTGATCAAAAAAGAGACATGATCCATGAATTCAATCTGCCTTAGTATTTCAAGATTATTCAAAATAGCCTAGTATGTAAATACTGAGAAACGGGGGGAATTGGTATGTTTCAATCTTCAAAGAGGAAAAAAATATTTGTTTGTTTGTTTGTTACCCTGAAAAGAGCAGAGACAGTCTGGAAGGAGGAACCCTTCTTCTTTGCAGCTTTCTTGCCGCTGCCCTCTGAAATTGGAAAATTTTAACGAGATTTCAATTTACTAAAAAATTGATCTACTTAATTTCACAAAAAACCCTCCAAGTATTGATTTTACAGTCATTACCAGCATCCGCAGGGCGATCAGCAAACAGTAAAGCCAAAGTCTTCATAGAAGACTTCTGGTAAAGCCCCACCACTGTATCATTCAGGGGGTCCTTGTTCTTCTCCAGCCAGCCATTGATGTTATAGTCCACAGTGCCAGCATAATGCACCAGAGCGAAGTGAGCCTCAGCCTTGCCTTTGACAGGTTTGGGCTTCTGGAAATTAGGAGATTTGCCAATATGTTGATCATAGAGCTTGTTCTTGAAAGAAGTGTCTGTTGCCTTGGGGAACATGCACTCTTCTTCCAGGATGGAGAAAATGCCCATGGGCTGGAAAGAACAATAGAAAAAAAATAAGACTGCTTAGAAATTAGCTGTTTAGAAATACTCAACTATGAAAAAGCATGTCCATTAGTCAATGAACAGTCATTTTATTTTATTTTTTACTTTCATTTGTATACCACTCATATTAGTACCACAACACTACTCTGGGAGGTTTATAATAAAATATACTGTATAATCAAATTAGAAAATGTCATTAAAATAATATGACATTATAGCCAGATAAAAACTAAAGGTACAAGAGCAATGATGGACCTAAACATTAAATAAAAGCAAAAGTAAAAATATGTCACCATCCTTAGAAAATTTCTGCATCCACCCTATGCTGCTCTATGTAATAGTGCATTCATTGGAGTTTCCTGTCACCAAGTTCTGTGTTGGCAGAGTGCCTATAAGCAGAGTGGGGCACTTATGGGAGTACTGTGCATAACTAGTGATGATGCATATGTAACAGCAATGTGCTCTTTTTCCATGGATAGCTTAGCAACATAAAATAGTTCAGAGCATATTGAGCACATGTATTTGTACTGGAAAAATACCTTCTCAATAAGTTCAATGCAAGCAGCCAAATCCATGCCAAAGTCTATGAAAGTCCATTCAATTCCTTCTTTCTTGTACTCCTCTTGTTCCAGCACAAACATGTGGTGGTTGAAGAACTGTTGCAGTTTCTCATTGGTGAAGTTGATACAGAGCTGCTCTAAGCTGTTGAACTACAAGAAGAAGAGACAGATTTTTATTAATGCTCACACTTATACACCCAAGAATGTTTTAGTACCTCAATATCTGAAAACAGCTTTAATATGGTTCTTTGCTTTTTATGGTATATCTGTAACCTGATAACTAGACTGTTAATGAAATCTTTTCATGGTCTCATGTGGGTCTTTTCGCATTCATGATTCAGCAGAATTCTCTATATATTTGACCTAAATTCCAGAGTGGATGCTCCAGGGTTAGGTCTTTATTCTCCAATCACCCTGCCTCATTCATGGAATATTTACAGGTGTCCAGACAGTTTTGAACATCTGATTAATTGCAAAACTATTCATCAGAAGAAACTATTAATAAAGGGGAAATGAATACTTCTTAAATGCCTTTGATCACATTTTTTATTATGAGCTGTTGATCTAGAGGTACTCTGTGCATCTTCCAGTAATCAAGCCTATGCTAGCATTCTTTTAAGCCTCCAATATAGAGGATTATTTCCTTTAAGATTGATTCCAAACTAATACAAATGTTAAGGCATGTTCAAGTACTGTTTGTTTTAGAAAATGAAACCTATAATAGAATTTAGCAGTTAAATCAAAACTACAGCGACCCTATGGGGCTTCAGAAGTGATCACATTTTGATATAAAGTGATAAAGAATGGTGATCTTCTTTCATGCTAGGTAGCATATTGAGCAGCATAGTTTTGATATAGTAAAAAATAATAATAAATATATAAAGAGGAAAAGGCAACACATTACTTCTCCTGGTAATTATACATGTCTGTTGCATGAATCCTTACATCGAAAATCTCAAAGCCAGCGATGTCCAGGACACCAATGAAATATTGTCTGGACTGCTTAGTATCCAGCTGCTGGTTAATACGAACCACCATCCACAAGAACATCTTGTCGTAAACTGCTTTTGCAAGAGCACCCACGTTATTGTACACCTAGAGAGAAAATAATTGCATTATTTACCATACCCAGGAGATGAAAAAAACAGAGAAAATTGTTACTACAGTCACTGACTGATTATTGCTGTGCCTGAATGCATTATTGATATTGTGCTGGCAGAGCAAATTAACATTCCGTAGGGCAGTTTTAAAAATGGGAGCAGTCCAAACGAAAACATACAGCTTTTAAATTGGGTTTCGGATCAGCATCAGATTTACGAGTAGCACAGATGTACCAGACAGTCTGCTCTTGCTCTGTGCCAAATTTGGGAACATTTGAGCAAAGGATTTCAATTTATAATTTTTTTAAAAGCAAAACTGTTTCTCCCATTCAGAAATATCCCAGTCATCCCTAGATCTAAAATAGCTCATATAAAATGAAAATACCAGTCCTACTTATCTTGAAAAGAAATGTTTGCTCACATCAACCTTTTTTATTTGGAAAGAAACCAGGGACTAAAAGATTGGTCCTCAAGAACAGCCTTTAAAATGTGAGAAACAGTGATGTTTTATCACACTAGGCATGCATGGGACAGGCTTTCCAGCAAGAGCTTTGCAAATAATTTACATATTTTTATCTTCATGAGCCAGAAAAGGAGATGTTTACAGACCTGCATGGCAATGAAAGATAACAGAAACTGTATCAAAAGACACATTTTCAATAATACTAATACTACTACATAATAAAATGCTGCTGCTGCTGCTGCTGCTGCTGCTGATCATCATCATCATCATCATCATCATATGGGGAATGTTTGAAAGCAACAGAAAATTTGAGAATATTTTGAAAACAACAGAAATAAATAAAGGACCAACACCTGAGAAATATTGATAGAAAGCATGATAATAATTCAACATGGACATGGCTAAAACTGGAGACCCTTAAGAAAGAAACCGAAGGTTTGATTTATGCTGCCCAAGAACAAGCACTCCAAACCAATGTGATGAAAGTTAAGATCCAAGGAGTTAGTGCTGACAACAAATGTCAACTCTGCCAAGAAAAAGATGAAACTGTGTCATACCTCATCTGTGAATGTCCAAAGATTTCACAGACTATAAAACTAGACATGAGAGAATGGAAAAATTAGTGCACTGGGCATTATACAAAAAATATAACTTGCCAGCCTCCAAAAACCTGTAGTAGAGAATGTTTCAGAAATGAGGAAATCAAGATCTTGTGGGATTTCCAGACCCAAACTGACAGACATCTGGAACATAACACACCAGACATAGTAGTAATAGAACAAAGAAATGTCTGGATCATTGACATTGCAATTCCAGAGGATGCCAGAGTTGAAAATAAAGAATTGGAAAAACTAACAAAGAACAGAGACCTGGCAATCAAAACATCTCGCTTCTGGATGAAACACACTTCAGTGGTCCCTGTAGTCATTGGGGCTTTGAGAACAATATCAAGAAATTTCATGCGGTACTATAAGCAGCTGCAGATCTCAGAAATAAAACTCTCAGAGCTACAAAATGGTAATATTAAGAACAGGATACATATTACACCAGTATTTAACAAATACTTTTAGGTTTTTGGTTAAAACTTTTATCTGTTATATAATACCAATCAATGTTTTTTATAGTTTTGATTGACTATGTCTGGTGTTTTTGAATAAATGAATGAATGAGTGAGTGAGTGAATGAGTGAATAACATACAGACATTAGCTACTTAAAACACTTTAAAGACTTGAAACTAAAAAACAAAAAAGTGAAAGCCAGACTATGCAAAGAATATGACCTAAAAAGGATAACAATTGTTGAAATTCTGGAAAAATTAAAACAATGTTACAGAAAAGAAAACTGAGATATATGATGAACGCTAGAAGCAATATAGAGAAAACACACGTTTTCCAAATAACCAATATTATTCTATAAATCACTAGGAAATGGAGAGCAATATTATTCTATAAATCACTAGAAAATGGAGAGCAAAAGAAATTAGGCCTATGTAAAGATGATGCTTTAAAATTTTGGGAAGAAATTTGAGAAAGCCCAACCACAGATAAGAAAAATGCCTCATGGATTAAAGACATTTGTAAAGAAACGCAAGGAAAACATATGGATGATATTGTAATAACATCTGAAATGATTAAGAGGCAAGTAAAAGTTGTGAAAAACTGGAATGTACTTGGATCAAATGAGCTGCACAGATTTTGGTTAGAGCATCTGACAAGTCTCCATCAACACATAGCAGTGCAATTTTATAACTTACTTCAAAATTCTACAACTGAAGCTGCACATTTCTGATTTAAAAGATCATAAAAATGGCAATGAACCCAGTAATTACTGACCAATTGTTCAAGCTCCTCACAGTACTTGCAAGATATAATTACTTAATTGAAAACTCCCTATACCATCTGAACAGAAAGGGAACTTCAAAAAGTCAAGAGATCAGCTGTTTATTGATAAAATGATACTAAAGAATGCAAAAAAATGGAAAACAAACCTTAACATGCCTAGATAGACTATAAATAGGCATTTGACTCATTGTCACACAGCTGGATCAATACCTGCCTAAAATTTTTGGGATTAGTAAAAATATTCAGATGTTCTTCAAGAAAAACATGAGAAAATGGAAAACTGGCTTATAGTGATATTCCTAAAGAGGAATATTTCAAGGGGATTCTTTGTCACCAGTGCTGTTTAAAATCTCATTGATTCCTCATGTCAATAATTTTAAGTAAAACTGAATTGGGCTACCATATTTCAGAACAAGCAGGAAAAAATCAATCATCTGTTATACATGGATGACCTAAAGCTATGTGCAAAAAGCTCCGTGGAGATAGAATCACTGCTAAACAGAGTGCAAATATTTAGTGAAGAAATTAAAAAAAAAATGGAATTGACAAATGTGCAGCTCTATTGATACAACATGGCAAATGATGATATAAAACCACTATCAAGTGATGAAGATTATAAATACCTTGGAATACTAGAAGCAGATAACATTCTGCACACAAAAGTTAAAGATATGATGGAAAGAGAATCCACCAAAAAAATGCAGAAAATTTGAATGGTGGAAATACAATCAAACTCATTCAAATTTGATTTTACTGATACTTATGTTGAATTATTGTCAAGCCTTCCACCAACATTTCTCAGATGTTGTCCATTTAGTGGTTTATTTTTTCCAACTATTTAATTTATGTTCAAATTGTTTCTTATATTGAGCCTTTGTTTCTATTGTTTTCAAAATAATCTCTATTTTCAATGTCTTAAGTAATTTTTCTCTACTCGTATTCATATAATTATTTAGGCTTTTTCCACCCTCCTCTACTACCTGCTGTATTTGCAGTAATCTATGGCCTCCAATTTAGTAAATATAAGATGTCCACATAACTTTTTGTATGTAGAATGTGATGTATGTCCATTAGTTTCCATGTTTTTCAATCCAGTTCTTGTAATTTATTTTGAGTCCAGCTTATTATTCCAGCTGGGTATCTAATTACTGAAACTACCCATGCTAAGTTTTCCTTTCTTCCTACTGCCCCCATCACCATTTTCCCCCACAATATTGTCTTTTCTGGTCAGTTTTTTATGGTTGAACTGCTGAAGAGCTCAGTGGTTTAGGCATCTGGCTGTGGAGCTAAATGTTGGGAGTTTGAGGTCACTGTGCCTCCTTTACACAGCTGTATGTGATGATCCATAGGGTACCTTCCAGCTGTACGGTTTTAAGATTACTGTTATTTGAACAAGGTAGAATAGCCTCAGTTTACAGTTTTTGCTCTAGTGAGAGTTTAGGCTTGACTTGATTGATCCTGCCATTTATCTGCCTTGTGTCCCTGTCTTTCTACAGTCTTTCTGTTAGATATTTTGACTTTGGTTTTCAGTGACAATCTTAGGTAACCCTAAGCCCTCCTTTTAAAATTGTTATTCAAAGGGTGAGGGGACATATTTTGGAAAACATACACACATGTTCATAGAACTTCTGGTCTGATATAGCTTTTTCTTCTCAGGTTGCCTATCACAAGGAAAGGGTTTAGAAGCTGGAATATAGCTTTTTGCTATTCTGTGAAGCAGGCATGGCAACATTAGTTTACTTGACAAGTTAAAGGGTGTGTATGTTTCTCTGTTGTATGTGCTGCCCTAACTTACACTTTTTCTTCACCATTTAAGTCCAAAACAGCCCCTTAAATATTTTGGCACAGCTAGACTGCAGCCACATTCTAGTTGTTTTTGGTTCTGTCCTCCCCCAATAATGTATGTGTACTTACACGTTTGTTTTATAAAGCCAGGAAAATCAGTTCATAGAATCATAGAATCACAGAATAATTGAATTAGAAGGGCTTTATAAGGCCATCGAGTCCAAACCCCCTGCTCAATGCAGTTATCCAAATCAAAGCAGATCTGACAGATGGTTGTCCAATTTTTTCTTGAATGCATCCACCATGAGGTAATTGGTTCCATTGTCATACTGCTCTAACAGTTAAGTTTTTCCTGATGTTCAGCCAAATATCAGGAAATTCTTCTAGGCATTTTGATTCCTTTGTGGCTCCAATTTATTTATTTATTTATTAGATTTCTACCCTGCCCCCCTAGACAGCGTCTACTCGCAATAGATATGTATTACAAGCAATAGATATCTAAAGAACTTGTTCAAGAACAATCCAGACAATTGCTTCATGTTTGGGTGAGAAGTGGTTAACTAGTGAAAACAAAACAAAACAAAAAAGAGCTAGGTCCTGTGACTTTCCCCTTCTTTGTGTCACTTTGTGATTGGCAATGAGCACAAGATCTTGTAGATCATCTTGACTGCTGCTATTAGTGCTGTCAACATTCAGGCTGGGCTTTGCTATGTAAAGTTTGGCATCCTTTTTCCCTGCTGGAAACATGAGCACTATATTGTGCAGCAATGTTTGTTTATATTTTTATCCCACCCAGCTAGTGGCAGAACCACTACTCTGGGTGGGAAGCAAATCATCATAACACAATACAAACAACCCCAATATCACCGACCTAATCAGTAAAAGTGAAATATAGTAACAAAAGATAAAATAACTAGTAAAAAAATAAAGAGTATAAAATATTAAAAATATTAAATACAATAATATTAGGCAGTGAGAACAGGGCAGGTACATAAACAGGGAGGAGCACCATCAATTCACAAGATTACTCTGGGGTAAGGCCATAGAAGGCTTGGGAGAAAAGCTAGGTCTTAACTTGTCTCTTGAAGCCAAGGGGGGATGAGGCTAATTGGACCACAGGTGGGAGCAAGTTCCAAAGTGATGGAGCGACCACCGAGAAGGCCCCGTTTTGAATGGCAGATTTTCAGGCCTCGTTCAGGGCCGCCACCTGCAATATCCCAATTTATGAGGTACGGATGGGACAAGTAGACAGTTTGAGGGAGAGGCACTCAGGTCCTAAACTGTAAAGGCTTTAAATGTTAGCATAAGCACATTGAATTTAGCCTGGAAGCATATCAGGCCATTTCCTAGTGTTTTGAATAACGGGTACGGGAGCATAAAATGCCACATTCATATAATGGAGGTTTTTGAAGAACTGGTTAAACATTACCTGCTGGACAGTTTGACCTTTGGTGACATACTCATTGCCGACTTTGACACGAGGAAAGCACAGAGCTTTCAGGAGATCTGCTGAATTGAGGTTCATGAGGTAGGCAGCCTTGTCAGCAACTGAACAGATATGAGAAAAGAAAGACTCTCACAATATAGAGATACTGATTAAGATCAATGTCAAATTGGATATCAATCTTACAGTATTCGTACAATGGGAAATCAAGGAAGAAATGAGCACCATACCTAGGATTTGTGTAAAATATTTAAAAGAGCTTGCCCAAATGGGGACGAGACAACATCTTGGAAACAGGATAATGTGCCTGAACCTTGGTGCCAATTCATAAACCTATCCTGTTCCACTAAAACATTAAAAATCCTGCACCTAACAAGAACCCATTTTAAGCTGTTTTTGAAATTATTTTTATTGTGGATCCTGGGGTGAAATTTCATCCTGAAATCTGTCAAGAGTTGTTCACCTGACTGTAATATTAAGCTGCCAGAACAGGATTGTTTCTAAGAGGGAGGACTTCACATCTCTCAAAACATTACGAAAGCCATACACTATGGTTTAGTTTCCTCTTTCTTTTGGAGTTTTAAATACACCCTTTTAGAAAATGAGAAATTTCTGATGTGTAAGAATTCTACAGCAAATCTTCTGAATACCTTCTGTGCCGTCTGGCTCAGCCTGCTCCTCACGCTGTTTCTGCTTGAACTTCATGTTCCCATAATGCATGACAGCCCCTGTCAGCTTGTAAATGGCTGTTCTTTCTTCAGGAGTAAAGCCCAGGATTTCAATGGCTTCCTGTCAATTGAATCAATAGTCAACATTCTCTCATAATTTGAGTCAAAACTGGCTCAAAATTAATCACTACTATATTTGGAGGCAGACATTTTAGCAAACTACTTCATTTAACTTAAGCCCCCGCTCCGAGAATGTGCTCCATCCAGAACAACTTTGTGTGACATCATTAGGGGCAATGTCTAGGACAAACATCAGCAAGGCTATTGGGGGAGGGGCAAAAAAACAAGAAAAAGAAAGAGTACCAGAGGGAAACTGCCACTGCTATTTTTAATTCACCCTGAACATTTGTGGAAAGTTTGTCCACACTCTTAAAATTAAAAAAAGGGTTCATCTCCCCAGGTGATGGCATCTGGCCTAGATGCCTTTAAAAGGGGACTGGACAGATTTCTGGAGGAAAAGTCCATCGCAAGTTACAAGCCATGATGGGGATGTACAATCTTCAGGCTTAGAAGAAAGGTACCTCCAAATGCCAGATGCAGGGGAGGGGGATATCAGAAGACAGCTATCTACTTGTCTCGTGTGCTCCCAGAGGTATCTGGTGGGGACACTGTGAGACACAGGGAGCTGGACTAGATGGGCCCTTGGCCTGATCCAGCAGGGCTCTTCTTATGTTCTAAGCCTCCCTTGTTTCTACTAAAAAAGACAGGGAAAAATCAATGCATTTCTCATCAAATTAATGTTCTTTGTGGTCAGTTCTACAGTTTACTTACATCAGTTGCCATCAGCTCTTCCTGATCATTAATGCTGGCAACACTGATCTCACCCTGACTCACAAAGTGATAGTCGTAGGGGTTGGTGGTGATCAGGAGCATCTCTGAATAGGAAGCAGAACCATGGTTTCAGTCTCATCCTTTGCCATTAGAATCTTAGCACCTATTGCCCCCTCCGAAAGAGATGCTTCTTACCAATCAGTTCTGGCTTCTTGTTAGACATGATCTGATAAAAGATGTGGTAGCTTCTTTCAGCTTTTAGCTGGAAAGTGACTCTGGACTTTTCCAGCAGATCTAGGAAAGAAGTGCAGTGTAATCAGCGAAGGAAGGAAGGAAGGAAGGAAGGAAGGAAGGAAGGAAGGAAGGAAGGAAGGAAGGAAGGAAGGAAGGAAGGAAGGAAGGAAGGAAGGAAGGAAGGAAGGAAGGAAGGAAGGAAGGAAGGAAGGAAGGAAGGAAGGAAGGAAGGAAGGAAGGAAGGAAGGAAGGAAGGAAGGAAGGAAGGAAGGAAGGAAGGAAGGAAGGAAGGAAGGAAGGAAGGAAGGAAGGAAGGAAGGAAGGAAGGAAGGAAGGAAGGAAGGAAGGAAGGAAGGAAGGAAGGAAGGAAGGAAGGGAGGGAGGGAAGGGAAGGGAAGGGAAAGGAAGGGAAAGGAAAGGAAAGGAAAGGACAGACGGACTAGATGGATGGATGGACGGACAAGTAAAATCTCTTACATGTCTCAATGTCTGCAGAAGCAAGTTTGCCAGTAGCACCAAAATGGATTCTGATGAATTTACCCTGTAGGGGGAAAGGACGCATAATTAGTACAAAATGGATTTTACTGTAGATCTGCTGCACCATCCCACAATAACAGCAACCATAGGAGAATTATTTAGAGAACTTGGTGTGAGGAAGAAGGGACACATATTAGCAAGTGGAGAGAACTGTGAGGACACCCATCTCTAACATACAGCTCATAGGAGGATCCCTGTAAAGGAATGTGTCCCTTGGGAAGGAAAATTCCCACTGCTTTAGCAAATGCTCAGATGCTGTGTGCCAGCCTGTGGATGTACAGGAACCCTCTCGAACTGCTAAGATCATCAAGCTGCTCCTTCCTCTGCTCTTCCATTCCAGCCAACTACAATTCACTAGCCAATTCCTCTAGTCAACTAGCACTGAGATAGATAGACAGACAGACTTTCAAGGATCTTACCACTCTTTTCTGCCCACATGGTTTCACCTGCCAAAGATACATTCTCTAGCTTTCCTGTTTTGATTCAGGAAATGTAAATATTCACAGATATGTGATGCAACACTCTTTCTATACCTTCTAACATTTTTGGTAAATGCTTTTTCATCTATGGTTCCTAGACAAAACTAAACAGATGTGCTCACTGAAAATCATCATCATCATCATCATCATCTTAGATGGCCCCTGTGGATCATCGAGTCTAGCTCCTATTAAGGAGGCACAGTGGGGAATTGAACAACTGACCTCTGGCTTTGCAGATGCATAAACCGCTGAGCCATGTGAAACACTTGGGGTTGGCTATCTTGATTCATTACATCACTTTTGTTAATGCTTAGGATTTCGGTCAATGAAACAGTGACTATTTTACTGTGTTTTGGTCTCTTTTTTTAACTTTTTACTTTTACTTTGTTTTCCCTTATAGTGCTTGTACAGACTAACATGGCTACCCCTTCTACAGTTATTTTACCTGAGAGAGCTATGTCAGTAATGTGAAAGACACAAAGATGTGGCTAGTATCGAAGTGGGGGTGGGTGGGGAAACATACTTTGTATCCTGAAATCCAGCTGTCTGAAATATTTTTGATGTGAGGCAAGGTATCTGAGTCAATGGTGGTGACACAGTTTTAAGTAAAATGGATTATCTCCAGATTAAGGGCAGACTGTTGTAAATTATTACCACATCTTCGGAGGTCAGGCTGCTGTTGGAATCCTTTGTCAGTGCACACTATATTTAAATGCTTATGCTAAAATAGATGTCATGCTGGATCCAGGCTGAAAAGTGTGCATGGGGCTTTGTTCCTCTTTCACACACAGGGCTAAATCCAATTTTTAGTCCCTAACAGAGTACACCCACTGAATTATTGGGACTTATGTGATTCATTAAATCTCCTTTTATTGGGCTGTTGGCCCGACAGGCATTCCACAGCTCTCATGCGGTTCTAAGGCCCATCTCCTCCAGCGGGCACCCACTGAAAGGCAGTGCCCAGAGGAGGTGGAGCAGGGAAGCTATGGTGCTGCCTCTGAGTAGGTGCCTGTCACAAAAGGTGATGCTCAGACGCTGTTGTTGTTGTTGGAAAACACTAGGCACAATCAAATTTATAAAAACTTTGACTGATATTATATAACAGATACATGTTTTAACAAAAAAACTAAGTATCTGTTAAATATTGGTGCAGTATGTATGCTGTTCCTAATATTGCCATTTTTGTAGGTCTGATGGTGTGATTTGTGAGATCTGCAACTGCATATAGTACTGTGTGAAATTTCTTGATATTGTTCCCAAAGCCCCAATTCCATTATTTTAGCTTCTGTTACAAAATTTGTAATCAATTATTTCATTGTCCAATTCCATTGTTCACTCTCAAATATCACTAAAAGTGCTATTTTAGGACATATTGCTATATTTTGCTTTAATATTTCACTTATCTCTTTAAAAACCAACTTCCAAAGCATATTCACATTCCCACCACATATGAAAGTAGGTTCCTATTTCCTGCTCACATGTCCACATACAGTATATTGGAATATTTTTTGTCCATGCAATCCAATTTAATACCAGTGAAATTGGATTGCATGGACAAAAAAATATTCCATCTCCAAACCAGTTTGTAAAACTTTTCCTTTATTCTTACAGATATATATTTTAAAATTATTTTGTTCCACATTTTCAGTACAGTACTTATTTCCTCTTCCAAATCAGCTTCTCATAACATTTTAATACCTCTTGTTGATTCTCTATTAAAATTGCATACATTTTACTTATCCTTCCTTTCATTCTTCTACTCCAATTTTCTGTTTTCTTTCTGTAATACCATTTCTTCAAATTTTGTAAACATTCAACATTCACCTTTTCTTTTTAACCATTCTCTAACCCAACATTCCAGCTGAATGACATTAAACAACAGCAACTTTTCCATTGCCGGCACCTCTATTTTTTGTTCTGTACTACTCATCTTCTCCATCCAATCTTTTATTTGGATGTTTCCCATGATATTTTGATTAACAAGCTAATTAGGTGTGAGCTGAATAGCACAAGGGCCAAGTGGATACATAGTTGGTCACAGAATCATACTCAGAGATTCTTATCAATGGCTCCTTCTCAAACTGGGAGGAGATAACAAGTCAGGTAGCACAAGGCACAGTGATTTTCAACATTTTATTAATGACTTGGATGAGGGGGTGCAGGGAATACTTAACAAATGCAGATGACATAAAATTAGGTGGAATAACTAATACCTTGGAAGACAGGAACAAAACTCAAAAAAATCTTGATGGATTTGAGCACTGGTCTAAAAACAAAGAAATTTGACAGGGATAAAGTTCTACACCTAGGGGGGAAAACCCCAAATACACAGTTACAAGATGGGGGATACCTGGCTCAGCAGTACTACAAGGAAGAAGGGTCATGGAATTGTTGTAGATCACAAGCTGAATATGAGTCAACAGTGCAATGTGGCTGGGAAAAGGCAAACAGTATTTTAGGCTGCATTAATGAAAGTATAGTCTCCAAATCCTGTGAAGGACTAGTCCACCTCTATTTTGCACTGGTTAGGCCTCATTTAGATTACTGTGTCCAGTTATGGATACAGCACTTTACGAAGGATGCCAACGAATGAACAAATTCAGAGGAGGGCACCCAGGATCATCAGGGTTCTGGAAACCTATGAGGAAAGCCTGAAAGAATTGTGAATGTTTATGCTTAAGAAAAGAAGACTGAGGGGAGATATGATAGCACTTTTCAAATACTTGAAAGGTAGTTATATAGAGGAGGGAAAGGATCTCTTCTCAATCATCCCAGAGTGCAGGACATGAAATAATGGGCACAAGCTACCAGAATTCAGATTTAGGCTGACTATCAGGAAAAACTTCTTAACTGTTAGAGCAGTACGACACCTCCCAGTACCTTGGGAGGTGGCGAGCATTCCAATGCTGGAGGCATTTAAGAGAAAATTGGACAACCAACTGTCAGATTTACTTTGATTTGGATTCCTGCATTGAACAAAGAGTTGGGCTCAATGGCCTTATAGGCTCCTTCTAACTCAGTTATTCTATTATTCTATTCTATGATTCATGAAATTAGAAGATTATACAGAGGGATATGATCCCAAGAGGAACAAATCTTGGCAGCTGATGGAGATGAGTGCTGAAGTTACAAGATCTTACTAAAACAAATATTGTTCTGGATGTATAAATTATTATTTCTACAGATGATCCCAAGGGTAGCAGATCATTGGCAGTTGTGGGAGATGGGATCTCCTTCTAGATTTTCATGGGATGTGAACTTTATGTGAGGAGCTGGGCTGAGGACATTGTCGCTTCCATGACAAAGGACAGTGGAGGCATGAAGGGATCCAAGCAAATCTCAGGTTTTCTTACGGCAGATGGCACAGCAAGCAGAGGTGAGAAGTCCTGTGAACTTGATCTATGCTCTTGCAATGGTAGCCAAGGGACAGGACCTGTCCCCCTGGTTAAGGAGAATTGCCTTTATGAAGTCAGTGAATAAAGAAAGGGGCAGAGGTTAGCCGGCCTAACTGGACACAGTTGCTTTTCGTCATTGTTAGAGTACCAGGAAAGGTGCCACGGAGTACAAAGGCATTCACGAATGGATGCTCTCTCAAACACATGAAACTCACAAAACGTGAAGAGTTGTCATTCCTCACAGTCTTGGCATTCCCAAAGGCCTCCAGCAAGGGGTTGGCACTGATGATTTGATCCTCAAGGGTGCCCTGCAGAAGTGTTATATAGTGTATCAAAGAGTTACCAATTTTAAACCAACAGTAATTAGCCAAAAGGAAAGTGTGGTCTTCCTCCAAACAAACAACTCACCTTTAGTTTGCCAGTTTGCTGTGGTTCTTCTTTCTTCTTATCGGAAGCTGCAGCAATTGTTGCAAAATACTGAATGACACGTTTCGTGTTCACAGTCTTTCCAGCACCAGATTCTCCACTTTCAGCAGAAACAGATGAGAAAAATTCGTCAGTCATCCATTGCACTTCACAGCAAAAGTTGCTCTGACTGGAAATTGACCAAAACATACTTACGTGATCAGGATGGACTGATTCTCACGATCTAGGAAAGCAAAGAAACAAGAATGTAACTGATATTGAAATGAAGCATATTCCATTTAAAAGGCACCTGGGAAAGCCTGAAAATCTTAAAAGGTAGTTATTTATCATCTGGATGGCCCATTTCTATTTCTCCTTCCATTAGGAAATACTGGCCAAAATCCTTTTGAGATTTTATACTAGAGTGATGGAATTGGCATCAATCTCCTTGGTGAATTGCTGAAAGTTAAGGCATTAGCATCGTCATATCCTGTTGCACACTGGATCATAAGACTCAGCAAGCCACATCAGGTGCCTAGGACACTTTCTTAATTTGCCAGTGAGGATGTGGGCCACTGGTTGAACACTTGCTCAGATTATTCTACATCTATGAAAACTCCACACTCACCGGTTTATTACAAGTCATGTGTTCCAGCACACATCTAGTTCACATATCAGAAATCTGATTCTCACTTCTCCTCTCCACAATTCTTTTGGATTTTAAACCTCTTCCTTCCCTGCAAGACGCCACTGTATGCTGTACCAAACTATAAACTGATCTGAATGCAAATAGGCTAAAAGGGTCAATTAAGCAATAAAGAGCATTCGTAAATATGGTCAAGTGCAATTAGGAGTTAGTATGTTTTATGGGACAACTGAATTGATTTTCCTTTTCTTTGAGCTCTCAGTGTCCTCTAAGGCAACTGGTTATGCATGAAACTTTTTGGAAAGGATATTGAACCTGCCACTGTATAATGGCTTTGATATGGGTTGTGCTGCTCACCAGTTAGCATGAACTGATACGCGTTGTCAGAGATGGAGAAGATGTGGGGAGGGGCCTCTTGACGCTTTTTGCCCCTGTAGGCATTAACAACTTCTGGGTTGTACACTGGCAACCACTTGTAGGGGTTGACGGTGACACAGAAGAGTCCTGAATAGGTCTGTAAAGAAAGGATTAATTCTATATTGGCTTCCTTGTGAAAGAATTATTCTGCATTATGATAGTCAATGGTAAATCTCAAACTCTTCTCACATAGATCATCCAGGCTGCATAACGCTCTTTGAGGTTATACAGGACAGCAGGTTCATGGAGATGGGTCATCATGGCCATGTCTTCAATCTTATCAAATTTGGGAGGGTTCATAGGAAAGACTTGGTCATCCTTAACTGTCACAGTCTGTAAGAAAAGAAGACACCATTCAGCCAACAGCAGAAAGAAGAGAATCAAATGTGTTAACTTTTCTCTGTAAGCTACTCACGTCTCCACCGTCCTTTTTGACTGTGACCTTCCCTGTTTCCTTGCTCTGAATAGTGCCTTTCACAAAGGACTGCTTCGGGTCCACCACAAAGACTGCAGTTCTGGCATCGAATGGCTTATTCTGAGCCTCAATCCTCTCCTTTTCTGACTTTCGGAGATAAGGGGCAGCTGGCCCGAAGGCTGCCATCTCAGCATCTGATGACATGGCTGCAGTTTATCTGATAACACTGGTGTAGGAGGAAGAAGAAGAAGAATTGACACAAAGATACCAATTTTTTTACTGACACCAGGCATAATATCCCAAATTGTATCCTAAGCATTTCTTCATTTGAAATGATTGTTTTCTTTGGTAACCCTAAGTCTTTTATTGCCATTTTATAGGCAAGTTATTTCAATCATCCCACTTACTTCCAACAGCATTTGTATGTCAGTAAATCCAGAGCATGCATTAAGCCTTCTTACACACACCAGCAAATAAACCCACACATATTTGGAGGTGCCTCTCAAATAAAATGAATGGGGCAGCCAGCATCCGCAAGGGACGTGCCTCCAAGTGATCAGGGTTTACTTTGGAAAGTGTTACATATAATTTAGCATCACAGAACATAATCACCTTCTCTAGTAACAAATCTGAGCTGTTTTATGCCAATGAAGCTGGAGTCAAAATTAAGCCACTGAGAAACGAAGAGGCATCCCCATTTAGAGGGAAAGCTTCTTATTTCTCAAAACAATTCAGATTCTTAACAGTTCTGAAAAATGAGGAGCTTTCCCTTTAAACCTTACTTGCCTTTGGAGGGGAAAGAGAAAGTTTTCCATTTTTCTTTAATAGTTATTAACTTTCAAAGCATCCCTGATACCTTAGCAACAATTAAAAAGAGATGTCCTGCCAACCAAACAAGAGCCCAGAGGAAGCTTCCAACTAAGTGGCTTCTCCAAAGGGATGGCCTTAATGATAATGAGAAAGCTTTCCTTTTAAAAGAAAGTAATATTCCCACTTAAAGTGAATGAAGATCTTGATCATGCTAAACTGGGTTGCTTGAGGGGCGCCTGACCCAAACCACCCAATCCTTTCATGTGAATGCATGAATCACATACCACACACCTTTACTTACCTTAAGCAACCCTATTTAGCCTGATCCTGTCCACTCCAATTTGGCCATTTAGGCAAAACCCTCTCCCTTTCTGCTTACAGTTGAGTCATCACAAGAAGCTGCCTACTACCGCATCAGAAATCCTAACCCTTTCTTTTGACAGAAGGAATTCCAAGCAGGGCCATCTTCAGCCCTTTCCATGGCACTGAGCCCTACAGAAACTGAATTCAGGGAGAATAAAACTGCTCTCTAAAACAGCACACAGGCTTGGTTTAAAAACTTTAGTCCCATTTGTTATGGTCTGTTGGTGCTAACATTATATAATAATGGAAATAAAAGGAAAAGCGAGTAAAATTTCAGCCATCGTTTAAATTATATACCACTAAAATAATACATAATGGAAGTGAAAAAAGAAGCCAGTTAGATTTTAGCCATCACTATTTCAACTAAAATAAACGAAGCCTCATATGATCACTGGTCCAATAGGCATTTCCAAAAACATCCCATCAGAAATAGTGATTAAAGAATGGTCAAGATCATTGGTATTGTGACGATAAGATCGTTTTCCAGTATGCTGTTTGGAGTACAAATAATGTCAGAGGTGGCAATTAAAAACTAGAATTCCTATCAGATGCTTAGAGAGGAGGAAAACATCCTTTGAGAGCTTGACACAATAGAACATCAATATCAAACACTGTGGACACCATGCAACAAGGAAACTGAATTGAATAAATGCTAAATATGTCATGCAGCACAAAAAACACATAGGATACAACAACTGCCCCCACAGATCAAATCTGACAGAAGGCTTTTTTAAAAATTACCCCATCTCCAAGAATTGGGCAAAATCAATCTTACCTCTTGATAATTGAAACGGGTAGTGTACAGGCACAACACTGGGCAGTACTGCAAAATAAAAAGGTTGACTCTCTTGTTGCTAATGCTTTTCATAATGACTTCCAGTGATGAATCAAACTGGCATGTTTGAAATCTACACTGGCAAAGTCAATCCCCTTGCATTAATGGCAAAGGTACTCCAAATGAACGGGCATGCGAGGAATTCAGGGGCATTGCTCCCATCCAGCCCCCCATAATCCCCCACCACTTACCTACTAACTATCTTAAGAAGGACAAGGCAGATTGGCCCTAGACCGTCTTTTATACTCCTGAGTGAGAAGTACCAGCCTCTGTCCTCCCTCCACCCCAAGCCATTCTTCCCTCAAGGCATTTTTGGCTAACCTTTCCCTGTAAAGCATTGTTTGGCAAAGTTGACTAAAGACATAATTGTCATTTGACATGTCTGGATATAATTAGAAATATTTGATGTCCTTCATACTATGTGTGTAAATGCCCTATAAATAATTTCACAACAGCCTTAAAGGAGAGAATCTGGACTATTCGAGAAAGCTAAAGAATGGCATATGGGCTCCTTTGAGTTCTATTGCTGATGTTGTCATTGCTGAATGACCTCCTGGACACTGCTTTTTAATATCACTATTCTGTTTAAGGATGGAGGGTAGATATTAAATGGGATTAATAATATTACCCTCTAGTTATGAAGTGCTTGGAGAAAATATTTGAAATTAATCCTAAACCTAAAGACAAATTAACCATCCTATTGTCCTTCTAATTATGTCTTGAATTGCTCTTCCAGAATCTTGGCAGAACTGAACGCTGCCATTTAAAAGTTATGTGACTACTGTAATATAGAAGTGCCTGATGAAAACACATTTAGTACATCAGAAAATGCAGGTTTTAGTATACATGGAGCACAACATCACACAATACAACCTATGTATGTACCTATGGTGTAAAGAAAAGATAATGAAGTAGTTATGCACTTCATCAAACAATATAAGAAGTCTGCTGGCCTTTACATCATTACCACTTGCTTGAATGGCTCAGAAACGGGGGTACCAATGGAAGAGTGGGACAGCTGACATTCATCATAGTGTATGAGACAGGAGTAGAAGTATTTATAGGTCCTCCTTGCCCCACCATCATTTGTTTTTTAGCATCACTCATCCTGGCCATCCTATAGGTCCAATGTGAGTCTCACTAGTCAGATAGAGGCCAGATAGGAATATATGTTCTTGGTCAAAAAGAGGTCAAAATTTATTTGCCTATCCTACCTTGACTACCCATGGAACATATGGTTGAATCTGGGCTGGGGCTGTTTTAAGCAGGTCATCACAGCCAATAGACAGAGAATTTAGGGCGGTAGTGGTGAACTCTGCTGAACACCAAAAAATATTGGGAGTTCAATTAGAGGGTTCCTCAGATCAAGAGATTCAAAAGGTGACCAGGGAGGCAGTGTATTGAGGCCACTGTTTTGAGGCCAACTGATGAATCATGAGTTGACCAACTTATGTGCCTGGGAGGACCTCTCCAAGATGGACTGGCCAATGCATGGCTGTAAGCATACTGCAGGCCACAAAGGATTGGGACTCACCCTTACGAGATGGGAGAATTGGTCAGGGAGGATCCCTATGTCTCTCTTTATGATCTATTCTATGCTATTGGAAGGATCCACTGCAGACTGGGGAGTTTAAAATTGTAATTAAAATAATTTGTAGATCTAATTTACCCCACCATGAAACCCTTCCTTTTTATATTTTGGGGAGGGTGTAATTAAATTATTGTATGAGCTTGTGTGTCTGGCACACACAACATACCATGACACAACAGTGCACAGAGGAAAACAACTTTTGACACTATAAGTGTACAATTTAGCAAGAGGAGATTAGTGGTGTTTATTCAGAGTTACTAGCTTTCTCGATGGCTTTCATACCTGGAATGTATGTCTATGACCAGCTAGAAGGCCAAATAAATCATCTCATGGTAGCTGCATCACACTGCCTCTGTGTCAAAATGAACAGCAGAACAATGTTTCTGTAAGCCAAAGGAGGTATTATCAAGAGGAAAATCAAGATGGCAGCAGGGGAGCATGCAGGGGGGGATTTCCCTGTGAGATTTTTTTAAATCTTGTTTTTAGTGAAGGCTGCTGTGCTGTTAGGTTCTCTGAAGCTAATAAGATCATCAACCACTCACCATCTTAGTGTGGGAATGGGGCTTTTGCCTGTGTCTGGAGAATTAAAACTGTCCTTTATCTTATACCATTTTTCTGTTGAGAACCTGCAGAAGGTTTAGCTGAGGTGCTGGGTTAGAGCTGGGGATTGAATTTGTTATCAGAGCGGTGTCAGCAAGATGAATGGCCGCTCTTGGAAGAACGCCCAGCCTGGGACGGCTCCCTCTCTCTCCTCGGCCCAAGCTGCAGACCCCAAGTCAGAGGCCCTTGATTGTCAGAAGCTCTGTTTTTAAAGCTTTGCTGGTTTGATCTATCTTACCGGGTGAGAGACAATGAAATGGATATTTTTTGGAGATGATTCTTGTGGAAGGCAGAGAATGGCTGAGATTATTGTTGGCCGGGAAGCTGAATGGAGAGGATGGAGAAGAAGCTGTGCTGGAACCTCACCCTGCTTGTCTGCAATGGCGAGAGCATTTCAGACATGGGGGCTGCTTTGGATGGTGGCATCCCAGCTGGCTGAGGTTGCTTGGACGCTGAAGATGAGGACAGCTAAACTTATGACCAAGGCAACACCTGAATTTGTAAGACTTTTATCTGCTGTGTATTCCCTGGATCTGTTCGGCCTTGTTAACCTGGTGAACATTGAATGCTTGAAGATCCTCCCTCCCTCCGCTTCCTACAGTGGAGCAGGATGCCTGTTACTCCGGCGAGGGTGCTTCAAATGTACGGGTAATTACGGGCAGGGGGAGATATGGTGTTGGCGCAGTTTTACCTCTCTGAATAAGGATGATAATCTTTTTCAGCACTTCACAACACTGGGCAAGTTGAGAGAGAGGCCACAAGAGTAATCAAGCGGCTTAAGAAGCTCCAGTTTTACAAGCCACAAGACTCTGTTTGACCTGTCTTACCCAGGGATGTGAGAATTTCTGACAAGTTCTTTGAGGGGCAACGGCTAAACCTAAATAGGCAGCAAGACAAAGCTCTATAGTAAATGTATAGGCACATTGGTGGAAATATATTTTTTGCTTTTAGCAAGACAATGGTGGGAGTCAATTGCATTAATATAGAACAACACAGATTCAAATTAAGATATGCTATGATTTCTTTTTTAAACACTTCAGATTAAGGTAGGATACACTAAAATAGGATACACTCAAGCCCACTTAAATTGGTCTTGATGCTGGAGTGTTTGAAAATAATTGAGTAATTTTATTTTATGCAGGAGGCTTAGACAGAATAGTTGTTAGCATGCCTCCCAAAGTTCAAGATCTAGGAATAACCTATCAGTCTTAAAGTAGAACATGGCAAAAGCATGGGAAGTGGCTGAATGAAATATGTGATTCCAAAATGGAGTTTAATCCTACCAGAGCAAGGAGTGTAAACCAACACCTAAATGTAGATTATCCAGAGATCTCACCCAAATCCCCGTGAGATTATTGACTGCATGGTCTGACATCATTTGATACCTTTGCACAGCTCCATCAATCAGCCCAGCAAACAGCATGAGATCAATGCCATTTCCAAGATTCTTCTTAGGAGTGCTGAGAGTCACTGCATAGATCTGAGAGAACAGTAGCAACCCCAGAATTTTAGGATATTACGCTAGGGTTATAAGTGAATAAGAATGGAAGAGTCACAGGTCAGGTTTGCAGGTCAGCCAAATGCACAAAATCAAGAACAGTCAGATATAGAGGAATGTGCTTAAATCAATGTACAGTAATAGAGAAAGAGAGGAAGGAAGAGTGATATCACAACCTGATTCCTATGACAAGGGACTGAAGTTCAGCTTGGGGAAATCTATTGGTTTACTTTCTCTTAAAGGTAAAGGTAAAAGTTCCCCTTGACACTTTTTGTCCAGTCGTGTTCGACTCTAGGGGGCGGTGCTCATCCTTGTTTCCAAGCCATACAGCCAGCGTTTTGTCCGAAGACAATCTTCCGTGGTCACATGGCCAGTGCGACTTAGACACGGAACACTGTTACCTTCCCACTGTGGTGGTCCCTATTTATCTACTTGCAATTGTATGCTTTCGAACCGCTAGGTTGGCGGGAGCTGGGACAAGCGACGGGAGCTCACTCCATCACATGGATTCGATATTACAACTGCTGGTCTTCTGACCATGCAGCACAGGCTTCTGCGGTTTAGCCCGCAGCCCGTATTAACCAAATTCAGCAAACACAGCTGTTCTTGGTATGGAGAGAACTCTGTTGTCTCTGCTTATCAAAGAAGTGCCCGTTCTTTCCATTCTGAGGATGAAGAAATTTGGGGATTTTAGAAGATCCTTAAGAAAATTAATTGAATGGAATTTGTCCTTATCCCTAGCTGGGGCTTCATAAGGATTGATCTGTTGGAAGAGCATCTCACAGTGTAAGCATCCCTCAGTCTCGAGAGACTATGATAACATGCTCTGAATAGAGGTCTTGGAACAGTGTCTAGTGTGGCTGAGAAGACCAATTCAAGAGTGACAACCCCTTCCACACTGAAGGCAAATACTATGTGCCCCCCCCCCATCCAGCTCCCTGATTTTGCTGGTTTCGGGACTGCCTCTTTGCCTCAGCCCACTGAAGAAGTGTCTCTTCAAATTGGGAAAGGCCACGCTGCACCGCCTGCCTCCAGGCTGAACACTCATATGTCAAAATTTCCCATTTGTTGAGGTCCATTCCTGAGGCTTTCAGATCCTGCTTGCAGATATCCTTGTATCACAGCTGTGATCTCCCTCTGGGGCGATTTTCCTGTACTAATTCTCCATATAGGAGATCTTTTGGAATCCGACCGTCAGCCATTCTCACAACACGTCCAAGCCAATGTAGACGTCGCTGTTTCAGTAAGGTATACATGCTAAAAATCCCAGCTCGTTCCAGGACTACTCTATTTGGAACTTTGTCCTGCCAAGTGATACCAAAAATGCGTCGGAGGCAACACATATGGAAGGTATTCAGCTTCCTCTCCTTCTGTGCACAAAGAGTCCAGGACTCACTGCAGTACAGGAGTGTACTCAGGACACAGGTTCTATAAACCTGGATCTTGGTATATGCCATCAGCTTCTTATTAAGCTATACTCTCTTTGTGAG